TATTTTAAGGAAGGAGAGAAAAGCTAATATCTAGAAGCAGCCATTCGTTTTCAAGGATACAAAAGTTAAATAGGACTTCAGTAGAGGTAGAAAGTGTGACAGGGTAATGAACCAGTCCCATCTGCCCCAGTTTTCCTCCACACCAATTACTGATATTTAGATTTGTTTTGCCTTATCGGGAGTAGTTGGCACTGCATCTTTGAGAAGCAGATATTCTCTTAACCTTCCATTATCCCCAATATCCTCCATGGAAACAAGCAGCAACCATTGTCAGAATTTAAGAAACAATCCTGGATCTTGCATAGCCTTTTAACAGAGACTAACTGGGATGACCAAGTATTAAAGAAAAACCCGAGAAAGGCCTGAAATTGAGTGTGCTCAAATCTGTCTGAAGTTTTAGAGAAACCACCCTGTACAATACAATACAAGTGCTGAGCTGTCCCGACACCCTCAGAAAGCCACAGTGAAGGGCATGTGAGTTGAGCCACCATAGTGACCAGAGCTTTCATCAACACCAATGACTTACAAAACTACGTGGCAAGTGAGCTAACGAGATACTACCAATTGAGGAGTTACCTGTTCCATGACTTCTGGCGCCATCCAGCAAGGGGTGCCCACAAAGGTTTTTCTAACTTTATTTCTGGTAATATCACCACCCGTTGCTAAAAATGCACTAACACCAAAATCTGAAATACAAAAAAGAAAAGCCCACAGTGAAGAAAACATCCTGGAAAAAAAAAACACACACACAAGAAATCTCAGCTATGCAGCTGATGGTAACATTTCACATAGGGAAGTTTCTAAAGGACTAAAAATGACTAAGGTTTCTAGTCCTTTGGCAATGTTTGTGACAGAGGGTGCTATTCGGTTACATCAAAGAGGTGTGAAGTGCAGTGCAGACAATACAGAAGTCTACTTTTTAATGATGGTTGTTGGCCCAGGGGATGAACACCCCCAATCCACAGCAGATCTCTCACTAATGTCAATGGGAAGTGCACAGAGATCAAAGAGAATATGGCCTTTAAGTAGTCACAGTGTGTTCAATTAAGTGAGTTACTGTGTCCTTTAGCAGTATCCTAGACCTTTATGATCAAAGGCTTCTACCTTTCTGCTTCCTCCATCTCCCAACCCTTTTCTTTTATATCATCCATTGCTTGCATCAGTCTTCTCTTCTCTCTGCAGTCACTCCCCACCCACAAAGATTTTACGCACCCCCTTCCATACATATCCTATCAACAGTGTAAATACCCCAATGAAAAGACCATAAGACAGGCACGGAGCTAACATTGACTTCTCACTCATTTTAGTCCCAAAATCACTGGCATTTGATCATGAAGAATGTGTCCTACCACTTATGTCTGACCCACTTGAATCTCTCTAAGGCTACGTCTAGACTGCATCCCTCTGTCGACAGAGGGATGCAAATCAAGCACTTCGAAAGTGCAAATGAAGCCGGGATTTAAATATCCCGTGCTTCATTTGCATAAACATGGACACCGTTTTTCCCCCGACACGGAGCTTTTTCGAAAAAATGGCAATCTAGACATGGATTTGTCGAAAAAATCCTTTTCTGACAGATCCTGTAAACCTCCTTTTGAGGAATACAGGATCTGTCAAAAAAGGGTTTATTGACAGATCCATGTCTAGACTACCGTTTTTTCGAAAAAACTCTGTCTCGAAAAAGTGGCGGCCATGTTTGTGCAAATGAAGCATAGCTTCATTTGCACTTTCCAAGTGCTTGATTTGCATCCCTCTATCGACAGAGGGATGCAGTCTAGATGTAACCTAAATCTGGCAACCTTGGGCAACAGGGTATGCGAAAGGGAAGGTTACTCACTCTACACAGTAACTGGAGTTCTTTGAAATGGCTGTTCTCATGAGTGCTCCACCTAAGGTGCTAGAGCGCCGCTGTGCCTCTACTCGGAGATTTTAGATAGCAGTGCCCACGGTCGGCTACACATGTGAGGCTCCGGTGCACAACATTTGAAACAGCTATTCTGCTTGCACAGCCAACTGTCTCCTCAGTTCCTTCTCTGACTCGGATACAGCTGAGTCCGAAGCAGAGGGGAGGAAGGGCAGGTAGTGAAGCACCTAAGGGGACAACCATCTTGAAGAAGCCCAGTTACTGCACAGGGTGAATAACCTTCCCTCCTTCTAGCAGTGTCCTTGTGGGCGCTCTACCTTAGGTGATTATGAAGCAGTACTCATATCCGGCAGTGGGGACTTCGGAAGATGAGAGTCAATGACAGAGTATTGTTCAGCCAAAATGGGTTTCAGAGTCTGCAACAGTCTGAATGGCATAATGCTACATGAATGTTTGCGTCGAGGCCCATATGGCAGCCTTGCAGATTTAATTGGTACACTCCGCAGGAACACCATCGATGCTGCAATAGCTCCTGTAGAGCGAGCTAAGGACGTTAATTATCGAGTATCTGACTAATCGAATTGTCAATGCATTTCTGAATCAATCACTCAATTAGTCAATAGGATGCCTCCCCCTTTGAAGTGCAGCAACAGCCCTAGAGCTTTTGCTACACTTCAAAGGCAAAAGCACTACGTGGAACCTGGCATCAGCTGGGAAGTCCCCAGCTGACCCTGGGCTCTGTGCAGTGCTGCTGCTTTGAAATGCTGTGTCAACATTTCAAAGTGGCAGCGCTGCATGGAGCCCAGGGTCAGCTGGGGACTTCCCAGCTGATGCCAGGTTCCACGTAGTGCTTTTGCCTTTGAAGTGTAGCAAAAGCTCTAGGGCTGTTGCTGCACTTCAAAGGGGGAGGCATCCTATTGACTAATTGAGTGATTGATTCAGAAATGCATTGACAATTCGATTAGTCAGATACTCGATAATTAACGTCCTTAGCTCGCTCTACAGGAGCTATTGCAGCATCGATGGTGTTCCTGCGGAGTGTACCAATTAAATCTGCAAGGCTGAGCCCGTACGTTGGGCAGGGGCTCCCCTTTTGAGATATGGCATAAGCTAAGTGTATACAGTCTGATACCCATTTGGATAGTCTTTGTTTTGATATGGGTAATACTTGTGACCTCTCTGTAGAAGAGATGAAGAGCCATGAAGTTCCATGGAAGGCTTTTGTGCATTGAAAATAGAAGGCAAGTGCCCTACGGACATCTAAGGTATGATGTGCAGCTGGCCTGTGGCCCTTGTGAGGTTTGGGGAAGAAGACTGGTAAGTACATAGATTAATTGCAGTGTAATGAGACAAGTACCTTTGGGAGGAATTTGGGATGTGTACATAAGATCACTTTATCCTTATGGAATATTGTGTATGGGGGTCCGCCAAGACAGCTCTCAGCTCCCCTTTCTTCATGCACAAGTGATTGTGATGATGCAGGCAATCTTCATTGATAGATCTAACAGGGAGCAGGTGGCTTGAGGCTCAAAGGGCTTGCCCATAGTTCTGAATACAAGGTTCAGGTCCCATGTGGGCATTGGATCTTTTAGTGGCAGAAACATGTTGTGTAGGCCCAGTAGGAATCATTTGATCGATTGGTGAGTAAAAATAGAGGATGAAGAGCTGAAATGGTGGCCAGATGTACCCTGGTAGAGCTCAAGGACAGTCGAATGCAGTACTGGTCTAAGAGGCAGGGTAATATCTGTGAGACCTCCGTATCTGCCGGAGCATAGTTATGGCTTGAGTACCAAACAATGAACTGGTGCCAGATCTGTTTGTATGTTTTTCTGGTTGTAGGTCTGAAGCAATGCATGAGGATCTTCTGTATTGGTTCCGGGAATGCCCTCTCCATGGAAGTCAACCAGCCACCATCCAGAAGATGTAGCGTCTGTACGGCAGGATGGTGTATCAGTCTACTGCGTTGCGTGAGCAGGGCTCAGACTGGTGAATAATGATGTGGTGGTATACACTTTCCATAAGAGGTATGGGTACCAAGTTTGTCGGGACTAGTTGGGAGCTACGAGGATTACCATGGCCCTGTCTGATCTTGAGAATCAATGTTGGAGAAGTGGGAGGGGGGAATGCATAGGACAGAGGTGCTTTCCATTTTATGCTGAATGCATCCCCCTAGGAAGTGAGGGCCTATGCCCACTCACGAGCAATAGTACGGGCAATGAGTGTTCGTGTGAGTGGCAAACAGGTCCACTGTCAGGAAACCCCACTTTTTGAAAGGGTGTGTCTCAGTAACGATGAGTTGATTTCTCACTCATGGTTCTATGGGAAGTGTCTACTTAGGTTGTCTGCAAATACATAGTCCTTGCCAGGGAGATAGGTTGCAACCAGGTTTATGTTTTGTGGGATGCACCATTCCCACAGGCAAACTGCTTCCCAACCGAGCAGATAGGACCAAGCTCTCCCTGCCAGTTCATACAGTACATTGTAGCGACACTAAGTATTTAGATCGCTCTCTTTTTGATTAGCGAGAGAAAGTATATGCAGGCATTTCAGACTGCCCTGAGCTCGAGTAGGTTGTTTGACTTCCTTCAGGGCCCATTGTGCTTGGACTACTTGATGGCCCAAATGTGCTCCCCAGCTCAGTAGCAAAGCATCTATGGTGATTGTTAGTGATGTGGACAGTCATTGGAAGGGACCCCAATGTGTACATTGTCGTGCAAAGTTCACCATGTGAGGGAGGTCTTTATCTTGCCTGGTATAGTAAGACATTATATGATGGATATGCGGCCTGTATACTGTGCATAACCATGCCTGGAGGGGCCAGATGTGACGGCAGGTATGTGGTACCACAAACGTGGCTGTCATCATATAGCCTAGAAGTTGTAGGCAGTGTCAGGCTATTATGGACGGACTGGTCTGTGCTACCGATATGAGGTCTTTGACTGCTGAGAATCTGTGTTCTGGCAATGAGGCAGGCTATTGGCATCCTGCAGTCTAGGTGCGCTCTTATAAATTCTAACCTCTGGGTAGGACTTAGTATGCACTTCGGTAGGCTTATCTGGAGCCCCAGGCTCACAAACAGGGGTCTGGTGGTTTCGACTGTTTGTTGTGTGTCACATGCTATTAGGCCCTTTGGAAGGCAGTTGTCTAAGTAAGGGAATATTGTGATCCCCATTCTGCCCAAGTGTGCAGCTACCACTGCCAGTACTTAGAAGACTTGTGGGGCTGTTCAGAGTCCAAATGGTAGCATTCTGTACCAGAAATGTAGGTCCTTTAGTGTAAATGACAGAAAATGTCTTCATGATGCATGTATTGAGATATGAAAATAAGCATCGTAGAGGTTGTGGGTAAACTGCTGTGCTCCCTATTCCAAGGCAGGAATGATGGTAACCCTCGCCACTATCTTCAATTGCTGGAATCGGACCAAGCAGTTGAGTTTGTGGAGGTCCAATATTGATCTCCAACCCCCGCTCCAGCAAAGGGGAAGAGAATTGTGAGTAGTCGACTTGACTACCCAATAAGCCTTATCAGGGAGTAGACTAATCAACTACTCACTTACATCCCTAGCAAGAACCTCTGGTCTCTCTCAGCCAAGGTTTCTATTTATGCTGATTCCATAACTGTTTATCATTTTTGCACTGTCCTCTGATGAATCTAGTACTCAAAAACAGGTCTAAATGGACTATTACCCTGATGTGGTACAGCAGTCTATGTTTCTACAGCATCTCCAATGGTGCAGTCAGTTTACCATGTTTCCTTTCCATAGTTTAGCTTGCTTATAATAAGATCATGTAGAATTATGTCAAAAGCCTTACTAAAGTCTAG